GATGATATAGTTATTGGATCAAAACTTAAAACTGATCATTTAAATTATTTAAAAATTTCTTTCAAAAGAATGAGGAAACACAAGTCGAAAATGAATCCTCTAAAATATGCTTTTGGTGTTTCAACAAGTGAGTTTCTAGGATTCATTGTACATTGGAAGGGTATCGTGGTGGAAAAAAATAAAACCAAGGCAATCATGGAAACAAGGCCACCCTTGATCAAGAAAGAACTTTAGTCCTTGTTAGGTAAGATAAACTTCCATAGAAGATTTATCTCAAATCTATAAAGGAAAACTAAGGCGTTTTCTCCTTTGTTGCGTTTAAAGAAGGAAGTAGAATTTCGATGGAATAAAGAACATCAGAAAGCATTTGAGGATATCAAAGCTTACTTGGTCAACCTTCCAATGATGGTACCACCTTCTAAAGGAAAGATACTAAAACTATACGTTTCAACCAACGATTCGACTATTGCAAGCATGTTAGCCCAAGAAGACAATAATGGCATCGAAAAGGCTATTTATTATCTTAGTAAAATGTTGGCTGAAGTAGAAATTAGATACACCCCTTTAGAAAAGTTATGTTTAAGTTTATATTATGCTTGTACAAAGTTGAAGTATTATCTAAGACCTTTTGATGTTTTACACTACAAGAAAAATACAAAATAGCGACCGAAATTAGCGACCGAAATTTATCGGTCGCTATTTTGCGACCGAATTAGCGACTGAATAATTTAGCGACGAATTTAGCGACCAAATTTGATCAGTCGCTGTTTTGCGACGGAATTAGCGACGGATTTTATCGGTAGCAATAAAATCGGTCGCTAAATCAGTCGCTGTTTAATTTTGTTTCATGGGAACGTAGTTTGCGACGGAATTAGCGACCAATTTTGAAAAAATTATCAAAAAATTGCGACCGAATTTAATTCGGTCGCTAATACTAAACTTTTGAAATTTTTAGCGACCGATTAAATTTCGGTAGCTAAACAATACAAACAAACTTAGCGACCGAATTAAAATCGGTCGCTAAATTTTTTTATTAAATTTTATGAATAGACTAAAATTACACAGCCAGGTTTCGATCCTAGGTCCTGTGGGTAACCATGGGCCAACTACGAAACCGCTACGTCAGTTTGATTCATTGATAAATTACTGAAAGTAATTATATATATATATATAATACAGAAGCTTATAATTTTTATTATCTTATAATTTAATATTAGATTTCTTTTAATTATAAAATATAATAAATAAAATCTAAAATCTGTATCAGTTTCTTTGATAAAAATATTTAATTAAGTTTTAAAAAAATATTTAATTATATTCTTTTGATTTAATACTGGATTTGTTTTGATTATAATATTTTAATGTGTTTTATTTGAAATATCAGTTAAAATATTTTATTATCTTTTCATTTTAATTTATTGTAAAATAATTAGAATATTTAATTTAGTATCATTAAAAAAATAACCATTATAAGATTTAATTTATTTAATTTCATTATTTATTATAATACTTTTAGTTACTGTATTGATATAAAAATATTTTTAATTAAAATATATTTTAAAATTTTAATTAATTTATTATCATTCACTTACTTTATTAAAAAGTGATAAAATATAATTTATTTTTAATTAATCTAATAAAATAAAAACTTTAAAATATACATTTAAAATCTGTAATAATTTCTTAAATACAAATATTTAATTAATTTTAATATATACTAAATTTAATATTTATTAAGATTTTAGTTATAATTTTTATTATCTTTTGATTTAATATTGGATTTCTTTTGATTATAAAACATAGTAAATAATTAGTGTTTTAACGAAGTAATGTTATCAAATATATGTTGTCGAAACCTATCCTTCATTCTCGAATTGGTAAATGGGCACTTGCATTAACTAAATATTCACTAATATTTGCTCCTCTTAAGGCCACAAAGGGCCAAGTAATTGATGACTTCCTTCCAGACCACTCAAATGTAACAGAAGAAGTGAATTACGTAACCACAAAATCTTGGGAATTATTTTTTGATTGATCAAAACATGAGTTAGGAGCAGGAATCAGTTTGTTAATTATTTCTTCTAGTGTAATTCTCACAAAATTTTCATTAAGAACAAACTCTGAGTGATCGAATAATGTAACTGAATATGAACCATTGATTATCAGGTTAAAGCTACTCAAAAACTTGGGGGCAAGGAACATAATAATTCGAGGTGACTCTCAACTCATAATTGAATAGTTAACTTGAGAATATAAATGCATAAATGAGAAGCTATCAAAGTATAATTCTCAAGCCATAACAATGTTTAATTCATTTGATGAGGTCCAATTAAAGTATGTCTCTCAAAACGTGAATAGAATCGCAAATGAATTGGCCCAAATGGCGTATAGGTATAAGGTTAGTAAAGAGAGTCTCGAATCCTTGATCAATGTGGAGAATGAGTTAGCTAATCCTCATGAACATTTCATCGTTGACATGTTGAATATTCAAGACTGGAGAAAGGAGTTAATAAATTATCTTCAAGACCCAAATTCAAAGACTGGAAAAAAAAAGTCAAGCATCAAGCCATCAATTATGTGATTTTAAATGATGAATTATACAAGAAAGGGTTTGATGATGTTCTTTTCAAATGCCTTGGAGACCATGAAAGTTATATAACTATGGCTAAATTTCATGAAGGAATTTGTGGAGCTCGCCAGGCAGGAGAGAAAATGGAATGGACTCTATTGAGAAAAGGGTATTATTGGCCAACCATGATCAAGGATTATTTTGAATTCGCAAAAACATGTGAAGAATTCCAAAAGCACAGTCCAATCCAGAAAGTTACTACAAGTGAATTACATTCGATTATTAAACCTTGGCCTTCCGAGGTAAGGCAATTGATTTAATTGGTCAAATTCACCCACCGTCAACAAAAAGCCACAAGTACATAATTATAGCCATAGACTAATTCACAAAATGGATGGAGGAAATCTCTTTGAATGATGTAAATCAGAAAGACGTGATAGATTTTATCAAAGATCACATTATTTTCAGGTTTGGGATCCCTCAAACAATCACCACAGACCAAGGAATCGTATTTATAAGGCGAAAAATATCACAATATGCTTAATCGAAGGGTATCAAATTTGTTACCTTGACACCATATTACACATAAGCTAATGGCCAAGTCGAGGCTGCTAACAAAATAATGATAAGTTTGATTAAAAAACATATTTTTGGGAAGCCTCGAAATTGGCATGAGACATTGCTGAAAGTTTTATAGGCTTACCAAAATTCACCTACGAGTGCCACTAAATATAGATATTAATTTTCAGTCCATTAATATAGATATTAATTTTTCAGTCCAAAGTTTTAATGACACCACCATGAAGCAATTTTTCCTATAGATATTAATTTTCAATCCATTAATATACAAAGGCAGAATGACCTACCAATCGAAGACTAATGGAACTTAATGTATGATGAGTTAATTCAATTGGATGAAGAAGTGATAACAGTTATGCAAAATGTCATTCAACAAAAAGAAAGAGTTTCACGAGTATACAATAAGAAGGTTAAAAATAAAAAGTTTTCGATTGGTGATTTGGTACTAAAGGTAATCCTACCAATGGATCAAAAGTCTCTAAATCTTGGCAAATGGTCTTATAATTAGGAAGGCTCATTCGTGATCAAACAGGTCTACTCGAGTAATGCATATCTGATAAAAGAGATAAATTCGAGAAATGCAAACAAAGTAATTAATGGAAAATACTTAAAGAACTTCCATGAAAGTAAATTATATTGAAGTGAACACCATTGTTTCAAAACAAGAATAAATCTAATAATATATAATGTCTATTTACAATATTTTGATTTAAAAATACTATAAGCGTGATAGGCTTGATCTAGGCTTTGTCTCCGAGAAGCGCACTAGGTCTCCAACCTCTTTTTGTGATCCATGTTTTTCAAGAGTCTAAATGAAATCTCCTTCCCTTCATCCCTTAGTCGTTTCTGTTTTTGAACCACTTTTTGACTTTGAGCTTTTAAGGCTACATGTTTTGCCCGAATTCTATTAAGCTCTTTTTGTAGAGCTTCAATGGTTCTCTCAGTATCAACTTCCTCCTTCTGGAGTTACATCAAGGTTGGTATCATTTGCTCTATAGATTCTCATTTCGAGAGCAACTCTGACTTAAGCTGTTCAAGCTTAGCTCGATCCCCCTCTATATCCACTTCGATCTGAGCTGCTTCTTGGTAGGAACTAGCCCACTTGGCACGCAACTCTGATGCAAGCGTGAAAGTCTTCACATATTCTTGTAGTTCATTATTTATTTTGAGGGGAAGATTAGGAAGGGCTATTAAGTTGTCAACCATCTATTTGATCGCAGTTCTGAAATTTGAATCAAGGAGTGCCTGGTCGAGGTCCTCTATGTAAGCCTTGGAACGAAATGACACTAGTAAAGGTTGGAAGCTCACTTTAGAGTCTAAAGCTTTCTTAGACGTTGATGCGCTACTAGCCCAATTGTCTAGCACCTAAAAAATGTTGTCGACATCAGTATCATCATTGAAGAAACTGATGAGGTCTAGGTTAGCTGAAGGTATCGAGGTTGGTGGAAGCATGGAGGACCCAACATCATCCTTAACTAGTTGAGACGATGGAGTAAGCCGTTGGCTTGTATCTTGCAAGACCAACTCCACATCTATAAAGGAACCACTTAAATCCACTCTTATGTTTTTGAAAGCTTGAAGATCAATAAAATAAGAAAATACCTCGTCTTGAATGAGCTTAAGGGTTAATCTTAAAAGAAGGGCATCACCTTGTGAGGATTGGGGAAGGGTGGCTTCGACCCCCTATAGAAGCTACCAACGATTCAGCACTAGCAATGACCTCCAAGTTTGGTGCAACAACCTACAAATTTTGTTTTCAAAGGTATCCAACAACTCCAAATCTCGAAAGAAATTGACCAACTGAAATATACGTACCCCCAAAGGACGATAAAACACCTATTGAACATCTATAGAAACATCTCAAGAAGAAGAGGTGATAATGATATACACATCTTGCAAGGCGTAGAGTAACAATAATTCGATATAAGGTAATCGAACATAGAAAACCCTAGTGATATGTTGATTCGTAAACACCTACCTTTTGAATTTTTTCTTTAGATGTTTCTTGAGGACTACCAGGAGTAATATCGACTTTAAGGGTGCCCTGATTGCCGTAAAATAGAGGAACAAATTTAGAAAACCCAAGACAGTTAAAATATCGATAGTAAAGAGTTGAATACCTTCAGGAGTGACTTCATGGCATCCTTCATCAAGTTCTCAACCTTGGGCAATTTTTCAGACTTGGTTGAGGAAATTTTTTGTTTTCCTTTACCCTTGTCAAGCTTCCTAGTGGTGGAAAAATCTAGATTAAACAAGATCAGTTAAATGGAACTACAAGAGTATAAATTGATAATAAGAGACTTACAGTTCGGTCACTCGAAGAATATACTTTAGTCTTATTTTTAGATGAATCGAGATCCTGAAGTCGAAGGAACAATAGTTGAAGTACAGGTCAAACAAAGAAAGTAAAAAAGCAAATTACCTTGGAGCGTATTGAAACTTTATTAGAAGCAGTTTTTCTCTTCTTCGATTTAAGAGAAATACCTTATTTTTTTAGCATCATCTTCATTCTCCTATTGTTAAGAATCATCAAGGTGTTGTGGGAGCCATTAAGCTATAGCAGATGTGAAGCAAACACATTTTCGAGTCAGGTACAATCATAAAAAAAACATCAAAAAATACAAAAGTTAAGACATTGCCAAGATATACAACTATTTTATCGACCTAACACAAAGGCCACCTCTTATCCTTGGGAAAATCATGCACAGAACATCTTGCAAAGGTAACTCGATTCATTACAAGGATGCTTTTATGCTCCTCATATAAGGGATCGAGAGTCTTCACCCAAAGAGGATAAGAGAAATATTTTACAAGTCCAAAAAGAGCATTTGGAAGAGGGCGAATATTTTTAGGACAAATTTTTTTGAAATCAGTTCTTCCTCGAGGGTTAATGACTTTATTAGAAAGAATGTTCCTTCATACCATTTTCAACAAAGATATAGAGGCATCAAAAATCATTCGAAACAAGTTATCTAGCCGATAACAAACTTTAAAATATTTCTCGAATTGGTAAATAATATTTCGATTCTTGTAAGTACCTGAAATTTTTAGGCCCTACACAGAAAAAGGAGAATTAATCAGACAATATAGGAAGTGCTCAAACGTGAACACTTTATTAGTATAATATTTACATCACCAAAGAAGGAAACACTTCAACATAAGAAAAGAAGAGGAGAAGGAGAATGAGGTAAGGAAAAGTTGCCTATTAGGACTCAATCAACTTTGTTACTGCATCATAGTATCCCGTCTCAAAGAAGATGTCAGAATTGATCTTTTCTTTTCGACGAAGGGGAAGGGGCTTCATCTGACATAAACCAAACTGTCTGGCAAAAATTTGTGGTTGATATGAGTAAACTATCACATCCTTTTGTTTCATACCCAAAAAGATTACATCCCAAGATAAAAATATAAACCATATGGCGATCATATCTCGAGAAATACACCCAACTTGATTTTTTTTTTCAACGAAGCGGGACCTACCAAATTAGGTCAAATAAAATGGGCCACGCCTTTAGAAAACACCTCAAAATTGAGAATAGTCTACACATATCGAGCAAAATTCTTTATGGATCTCCTTTTGGTGTCAAAGCGGCTAGTCTTGCCCCTTCAAGTGTGTAGGTAATAGAATACTAAAGAGGTACGAGCTTGAGCTTCCTTTTGAAAATAGCATTAAGCCATAGCTGTACTAACCAAAGAGGCCTAGAGAGGTTCCTAGGGCCAGTCTCTTGAAATCGACTCTCAAAAGCTTCATCGAGACAAGTATACAATATTGGTAACAATAACTTGCTCAAACAGACTTTCTTCCACAAATGAAAAGGCTGAGCTAGGACATAGTAGTATTTTGGTACTTGAAAAAAGGGAATACAAAAAACACAAGCGGATAACCAATATAAGAGGAAAGCAATATGCTCTAAGTCAGTGACAGGCTCGTATTCCTTACCATGATGAACGTTAATGCAAATATATAGTGATATTTAGAAAGCGCTTAAATAAATAAGTGTTCTAAATTAAAACACAGAACCATTGGAGATCGCTTGGTCAAATAAGCACCATAGAAATATTACCTATCGAGAGCACTTAAATAAATAAAAAAAAGCATTATTTGTGGTTAATTTTTATTTTTAAATAAAAAATCAAAATATTATAGTGCTAATTTGATTTTTTTTTAATGTAAATCAATAGAAAACGTGTGTTTAAAAAGGTGCCATGTATTGACTTATCAATAAAGAACACTTAAATAAAAAATGATCTCTTTTATTTATTTACTTTTTTAAAATTTTAAAAATAAAATATTGTAGTTTTGACTTAAGGATAGAGAGCTCTTGTTTTGTCAAACATTTGCTATTCATAAAAAGAAAATCTTGTGCAGCTATTTTACCTTGCATTGCACACTCATTATACCTTGCATTGCATGCTCACTATTCACGTTCACTATTGTTTCCTTTGGTCTTCGTCATTGAACACACATTGTGTCTCCCTCTACAACCATGCGTGACATGCTTTGTCTTCCTCTGAAATCGTGCGCTACATGCTTTGTCTCCCTCCACAACCGTGTGTGACATGCTTCCTCTCCCTTTACAACTATGCATGAAGTGTTCCGTCTCCCTCCGCAATCATTCGTGACGTGCTTCATATCCTTCTACAACCATGTGTGATAGCTTTGTCGGTTCACTATCAAAAGTAAACAAGATTTTTCCCAAATATTTGTAATATAGGGAACAACCTAAGTCATTTTTCTCAAAGACACAAACCAATAGGATCCAAAATTATCACGTAATTAGAAAAAAGATTTTTATGAATAGCAAAGAGAAATTAGAATATTGCAAACACAAATAATAAATTCAATAAGAAATTACATCAATTCAAGGTTTCAATCGTTATGATAAAATTTTCATAGTTCAATACAAAATTCGAATTCTCAATCAACCTAAATCAACATGAACATAATCTAAATATAAATCTATATCTAGATATATTGAATTTCATAAAAACATGAAACGTAATTGCGATCTCACCATTTAAATAAAATTCAAGAACGGTGAATGGTTGAATTAAGTGATTTAGATTATTTTAGGTCTAAATCTAAAACTAAAATTAATCTTCAAATCTGATCTAGATCCATTAAAACAAAATTCATAATCAAGAATGAAAAATAAATCTAGAATGGAGAAGAAGATGAAAAAAATTCGTTCAGTAAAAAGATTGGGAACTTAAATTTTACCGTAGTTATTAAAACCTAGAATTGGATAAATGGATTAGACACACATCTTCATCAAGACATTGCAGTTCCTTTGCGTAGAAAAATGTAAAGAGAAAATTCCAAGAGAGAGAAGAGAGAGAACGAAGAGAGAATTTTGAGAAACTTATAGAGAAAATAACTCTAAAATCTAAAAGATGAGTGTAAAGTGTATATAACAAGTGTCATAACACCTATTAATAGAGAAATATAGTGGGCCTAATCAGAATATTTATAAGGCCCGACCTACTAAATTAACTAATTACATCCTAAACAAATCCAAATATTACATTCTAAAAATAAAAAGAAAATATTGTATATGATTGTAGCTTTGCAACACAATTTTAGGTCGCTTAAAGTCCGAATTGGCCTTTTCTCCCAACATAGAAGTTGTAGAACTCACTCTTATCTTTCTAGGAATATCGGGAGCTCTAGATATGACCTGCACAAGAAACAATATCAAAACAGGAAAAATTATGAAAATTAACTAAAATTTACAATTAAGACTAAAATGACTCAATAAATTAAACAAATCAACGCTAATATATCACAATTTGATACTAATATAAAAGTCAAATAAAACAACATATCAATCAAACAATAGCGACAAAAGATAGATTTCAAGTTAAATTTAACATATACAACACTACAACAATCAATGTATAAGCTTCCCTCATCTTGATTCTCGAAAAAAAAAAAAAGACGATGAAGAAGAAAAATGATGCCTCACAAGCTAACTTCGCATGACAACCACAACAACCCTAATTCTCGGATCTAAAAGCTTTGAATCTTGACATGGCACTAATGCAAAAATTAATTTTAAAATTGGGGTTTTAAGATCAGTTAAAAGGTAATTGATCTTAAAAGTGACCTAGTGACAATTTTGTAATTAATGTGAATACTTTTAAGATTGGTTAAATTTTAACCGATCTTATAAATATTTTTAAGATTGATAATTCCATGACCAATCTTAAAAGGTATGTGTCTAACAAAACTTTTGAGATCAGTCACAAAAGAACCAATCTTAAAAGAAGAAGAAGAAGAAGAAGAAGAAGAAGAAGAAGATGACTAATATAAAAAACAACACACATTAACAAATCCTCATTATAATTCCAAGGATATTTCTTGTGGTTCTCTTGTGCTCAATACATAATAAAACTAATAACTCTCGTGTTAGATACATATCATTCACTTCTATGTATCTAATTTGAATCATTATGGATTCTTTTCTATAATTTCATTAAACAAATATTAATTTCATTCTTTAACTATTTTTGGTTCATCATTCATTTTTATACGTCTTTGAATGCAAGCTTGATCTTATGAGACTTCCTCTGATAACTTAGAAGAAGCATCAATATATTGTCCGAAAGTAAGTCAATTATCAACCTAATACTTGTAGTTGAATTAAAATATACTCTAACTATGTTTTATTTATGTTTTATATTCACTAAATTGTAGTGCCCATGTCAACCAAATAAACATGAGTGACTATTACGTGATGAAACACTTGTTCACCATTATTATTGACAACATTAGGACTCATGAAAGGGGGGTACATTTTTAAATCAATTTAATGTTTTTAATGATTATTTAACTGTTTAATAATGAATTAATGTTTTATTTATCTCTATTTAAAATTAATTGAAAGTATTCAAAAATCCAACTCCATTTGTAGATGAAGAGTTGGATGATATTTGCAAAAGATGGATATTGACTTGTCTTGAGCAATTTGAAGATGACATGTTTTTTGTACATTGTTTTAGTTTTCTTTGTCTATATTAATATTCATATTTAACTTTGACATTCTTAGAATAATCGTTGATTATTATTAGTTAATGATAATATTTTTGTCTCACCATCCAAATAGTTTTGTTCTCTATGATCACTTAAAAAAGAGTTATCTTATAGTGATGCACACCTATAGTAATAAAATATTTGTCAATAAAAAATATTTTTACATTCACTATACATTAGTATTATTAAAAGTGTAAGTATAGATCATAATGACACAAATATATATTATTAAAACTCATTCATGTTAAGTCAGACGAAGACGAAAGCAATTCCCAGCAAGGTTTTGAATGAGACAAATATAATACATGTTGTTATTTCTAACAAGTGTGTTAGTGTTTCAGATATAAGTACATGCAGATTGAAGAATAGAGGAGATATGCATGTATTACCATCCACACTAGAACCAAGAGATATGAGCTAAGCATTAAATAAAGGCTGATCAAACGAAGGGAATATGTCAGACGAAGACACCCACAAAAGAAATAAAGAACAGGACACAAGCAACCAAGATGAAGGAAAAAAGCTAACAAGACGTCAGATGAGGAGGTCCAACGAAATCAAGCCCAACACAAGAATAAAGAAGCCTCAGATGATACAAGACCATGGATGATAACAAGTTGA